AATCAAAATCAATTCAAAATGCCAAGACATTATAAAAAAAAACTCAAAAAAAAAAATCTGAGAAGCAAATAAGTATGGTGGTTGGAAGAATAAATAGCGGTGAAATAAGTTTATGCAAAGCATCTCAAATATACAATATTCCAAAAGGTACCTTGTCAAATCGTGTAAATAATTGTGAGAATTCGAAAGAGTCTGGTAACAACTCTAAGTAGTGCAGTTGAATTAATATTGGTCGAAATGCTGGAAAAAATTATCAGATTGGGATTTTGGTAGAACACAAATGGAAACCATAAAAAGGCGTTTGTTGCCGGTTTGTTTTTTTTTTTGCCTATTTTTGCCTATTGTTGCCGTTTATTTAAAAGTTACAAATCAAACCAGATTATTTAAAAATGGCCAACCCGGAAAAGACTGGTATTACCATTTTATTAACAGATGGAGACACAAATTAAGCATTAGAGCTGCGAGCAACATATCAACACTGAGAGCAGCATCTTGCACTAAAGAAATTGTAGCAAAATATTTTCAAACAAGTGAAAAGCAATTTCTTGAAGGAAATATTAATGAAAATAGTGCGTGCAATTTATGGAAATTCGATGAAATCGAGTTTTCCGGTGACCAAGGCAGGAAATCAATAATTTGCAGACTTGGTGCTAAAGGTCCATTAAAATTGGCCGGTAATAATGAAAAAATAAATTATACAGTTGGTAATTGCATCAACGCAGCCAGAACCATAATTCGACCACTTATAATATTTAAGTCAAAACAGCGTCTATACAGCAGTTAGTGTTTAGATGGTCCGTTAAATGCTGAATATATAACTTCGCCGTCAGGATGGATGGAAGATAAACAATTTATGCAATGGCTTAATAAATTATTTATACGAACAATTAAAAAACTCCAGGTACACATGTATTAGTATTGGATGGTCATAACACACATGTAACATATCAAGTTGCAATAACTTGCATTGAGAATAATATCAAGTTAATATGCTTATCAGCTCACTCCTCCCACATACTACAAACACTAGATGTGGGAGTATATTGTTATGTTAAAATAATTTGGCAAAAATTATTACAACAGCATTATGTTAGCACATTATGCAGCAATTTATAAAAAGAAAATTTTGTTCGGCTTTAAGCCAAACTTTTTAACAGTGGTGAAGTATTTACACGATTACAAAAAATTGGAGGATTTCAAAATACTGGTTTATTTCCACTTAATATAAACAAAAATTTCGAACTCAGCCTACAATAGCTCAACTTACACAAAATCAATCTAATAAAAGAACATTTTCGAGTCCGAAAACGTCAACACAAAAAAAATATATATATATTGACGTAAAAAGAGTAGAATGTGATAGCCTAAATGAAGCTGAAATTCTAGAAAGGCTACGACAACCTGAAGAATTTAAGAAAAAAAAGAAGCGCAAACTTGAATTTAATGCTGGTAATAAGGTTGAATTACAACCTTCAGAGAAGCAAAAAAAAAAAAAAAATTCTGGACGGCAAAAAAAATGCAAAGAATGCCGTAATTTGTGGAATGAAAATGACAAAAAAAAAAAGTAAATGGTTTACAAGTGAAAGTACAAATTGCAAAAGCTGGGTTTGTCAAAAGTGTTTATCAAAAAAATATATAACTGATGAAGAATTTTATTGTACAAAAAAATGTCGAAACTCGTAACATATCATCTTCTTGTAAATTACTCCTATTTTTTTGTAAATAAATTGTTTTCTGTTTGTAAATAGTTTTTATTATAATTAATTAAATTACCGATACTTTAACACGTTCAGTTTTAACCGAATTGTCGGGTAAAACTGAATATTTTATTTTTCCAAATAAATTTGTTTTACTAAAAAACTTTCCATCATTTTTTTTTTACTTTACATATTCGGATAGAGCTCATTTTTCTCAACAAAAACAAAAATAAGAAAATTTTTAAATCATTTTACATTATAAAAAAATTAATTGTTAAGATAAGTGTTCAGTTTTACCCCCGTTTTACTCTACTTTTTATAAATAAAACACTTGCAAATCACCGCAACCTACGAGGTACTATATAAATTAGGATTGTTTTTTTTTTTAACTATATATTAATAAACTTGATATAATTATATAATAACAAATAAATAATTAAAATATTAATATATAAATAATTAAATATTAATATATAGTTAATTGTATCTTGATATACAATTATATAAATATATTAATTGATGATCATTTAATTAATAAATAGGAACAAAAGGAGCAGAGGGGCAATAGTCCCCCAACTTTCAAAAAAATTCTATTTTTTCCATTCAAATTCTGATTCTGATTGTCGTAGCCCCCCTCCCCCTAATTTTAGTTTCAGCCCCCCTCCCAACTTTCTTGACCTTTCTACGCCACTTAATATATTTATATATTTGGTATTAGACTCCTTAAAAATTTGTTTTTTAGAACAAAAATTTTATTAAAAATTAAAAAAAAACAAACAAACAATTATATTCTAAGTAACAATTAAACCCCTTTTCAAGATGTAGCTGAGAACATGCAAATTGTAATCAAGAAAACTTCACTTGAAATATTACTTGAGAAACACAACATGTAATTTAGAATTTGTAATATATAATTAAGAAACAAAACATATAATTTTGAAATTGTTACATGTAAATGAGAAACACTGCATGTAATTTAGATTTCGAAATATGTAATTGAGAAACAACACATATAATTTAGAAATCGTAGTATGTAATGGAGAATTCATAAATTTTTGGCTAATGTACAATGTAAACAAATAATAAATAGATTTAAATAAATAGATTTGTAAACTTATAGATTTTTATAAAACATCTTCTTGGGCATGAGTTTAACTTAGGATTTATGAACTTTACTTATTAATGAATTTAAGTTAATTTTATCAAATTTAGCATTTGGATGCACTAATAATAATAATGGAATTGAAATATTGCTCAGTGGCGGATTTAGTATAGGGCGTGGGGGGGGGGGGCGAGCTGCCCCCCACGCCCCCCTAGAACGGTCTAACGGCGCCCCCTAAAACAATTAATATATATATATATATATATATATATATATATATATAAGATTAAATTACTGAAGGCAACCCCGGTCGCCCCTATTTATTAACTTGGCCCCCCCCCCCCCGCGACACTAAACCTCAATCCGCCACTGATATTGCTGTGTTACATATTCATACACTGTGATTTTGTCTACTTAAATCCGTGTCAACTTTTTTCCACCAAATTTGTTTAAATCCATATCTGAAATAACCAGATCGAATTTGTTCTTTTTGTCGACTTGAAATACATACAACCGTACAAGTTAAAAGAATTCATTAAGTTTTATCTTGTCATGTGATAGAAGAGAAATTGTAGAACGTGCTGAGACAAATAACAACTGGGTGACTCGCGCAAACTTTAGATGTCTAATATAAACCAGGTCAAACATCAAAAAAGTGGTTTTAAGCCAAAAATATTGACCAAAGATCAAATTGACGAAACTTTGACATGGATTGAAAGTGTTTGTGAATTGACATTAATGGTCGTCAAATCAAAGATATTAGGAAAATATAGTTTAAGCGTTAGCTCTACAATAATTGCCACTTATACAATTAAAACTAATGAAAACAAACAAAAAAGAGCTGATTATGTTATACACATCAACGAACACGTCACAAATGGTTGTCAGGTAGTCTGTTTGGATGAAACAAACTTTAACCTTTTTTGTAGAAAAACGCAAGTACTTGTCAGTCTAAAATGAAGAGCAAAAATGAAAATAGCTGCTTCTAAAGGTGTAAACATACATTTGATTACAGCTATAGGCCGGGTGAATAATAAAAAGCAATTGCTTAAACTCAGTAATTGGTCAGTTTTACGTGAATAAAAACTTCAGCAGTTTGTTCAAATTTTATTGGCGTAAAGTTAAGCAATTTACTTGGTAATTGGTCAGCTCTACGTGAATAAAAACTTAATCAAAGTTGCTAAAACTTTTATTTATGTAAAGTTGACCAACTACTGATTTAAAGCAATTGCTTTTTTTTATTCACCCAGCCTTATAGGAACAACAAATTTTATTATAATAGAGACTCGCAGAGGATCATTTAAAGCAGATTCTTGTAACGAGTCAATGTTGGCTATGTTTCACTTGTGGGTTACATCTGGGAATCGTTCAGAAGATTTGGTAACAGACCACGCTCCTAGTCACGCTCCTTTGGAAAGAGTGTTTGAAAAATTCACCAGCTCAGTTTTTATGTGAAGTGATTGAGCACGTGCTGTATAACATGCAACCATGCAATATGTTTAACTGGACATTGCAATGATTTTTAATGACATTTTTTAAATTTTAATATTTTTTTCTAAATAAATTATTTATACTTTATTTATTATTCATCTGATTAACTGTGAACACCCGATGTGATTTTTTCAGTTATCACTACTTTATAAATTTTTTTTTCATGAATTTTTTATTTTATTTACAATATTTTAATACTGACTATGGTTAGCATTGTGTGTAGAGATATATCGATTAATTGATTATTCCTTTGGTTTTTGCCCGCTTCTCTGCCTAAAAGAAGACCTGTTGAATAGGAATTTCCAAACAAAGATACCATTTCCGTATACAGTTAACTCGAACTTTTGTTATCTCGAACTGTTTCATTTGACCTCTTGAAATTGTCTAACTGATTACTATTAAAATTCTCCGGTTTAGTCGAACATCGGATAACTCGAACTTCGTTAAGTCGAACCATTTTATTGTCCCCTTTAAGTCGAACCATTTTATTGTCCCCTTTCGGCAAATTTCTCAGATAACTTGAACTTTTTGTATTGGAAATAATGAAATCAAAATAACCTGATTAAAAATTTTTTTTTGAGAAGTCATTCATATAAAACATAAAATACTCTAAGGAAGACATTGTATTGCATTTTTTTACTAAACTTTTTTGAATATTATTTTTTAGTGTACAGTGTGAATACTTTCTTTTTAAACTCAAAGTTTGTAACATGGCGACAATTACTACTGAACAAAAGTTGAATACAAAAACTGTTAAAGTCAAATACAACACACTGAAGGAAGTATTAGATGGCATCTCAAATTCAAAGGTCGCCTTAAAATATAATATACCAAAGAACACCTTATCTACCTGGCTGAGAAATAAGGAAAAGATTTTTAATGCTGTGGAGAAAGGAAACAACCCAAAACGTCAGCGTACGAGGAAAGGGTCATTTGCAAATTTGGATCAAGCCATTTTCAAATGGTTTTTTATTGTTCGCAGCAGAAATGTCACTGTGTCTGCTTTAATTCTCAAAACTAAAGCCATGGAATTTGCTGAAAGAATGAACGTTACAAAATTTCATGCTTCAGGTGGTTTATTAGACCGTTGGAAGAAACAATACAACATATCATTTAAAATGGTTTCTGGTGAAGCTAATGCGTGTACAAGTAAAATGGTAACACCATGGGAGAAAACCGCATTACAAACCATTTTATCAAAATATAAGTTGAACCAAAATTATAATGCTGACAAAATTGGCTTGTTTTATCGGCTCCAACCAAATAAATCTTTACATTTTAAAAATAAAAAATGTGTCGGTGGGAAACACGTCTTACAGGATTGGCATCCACTAATGCATTAGGGGAAAAATTGCCAAGGTTTGTTATTGGCAAAGCTAAATCGCCCAGATGCTTTAAAAATGTAAAGCATTTGTCCTGCCGTTTTCGAAGTCAGAAGAAAAGTTAGATGGATAGCACACTATTCAAGGAATGTGTTCGTGGAATTGATCGGCAATTTACGAAGGAAGGACTAAAAATTGTTTTATTAGTTGATAATTGTCCAGCTCATCCAACCAATGATAATCTTGAATCAATAAAACTAATCTACCAGGGGGTGATTAGGTCACTTAAAGCCCATTATAGAACATTATCTGTTCAAAAATTAATAGATGCGATAGATAAAAAAGCCTTTTTCGGAATTTACTATAATGGATGCCATGCAAATGCTTGATATTGCTCGGGAATGTGAAGACCGAAACTATATGCAATTGTTTTGCTAAAGCTGGAATTTCAGAGAAAATTTGTTTTGACTCCTCGGTAGATGTGGATGATCCCTTTGAGGATCTCAATGACCAGATTAGAAAAGCTTGCTGTTCATACATCCGAGTTCTTCCCTGAAGGAGCAACAGCAAAAGGTGTCGTGCCCATGGATGATTTTGTCAACCCTGCCGAGCCGATAATGAATGATGAGGAGATTATATCAGACGTTACAGGAGAAGAAAATTCAGCCCTGGAAGTATTACGAAGCCACATGATATTCAGTGACAATGGGGAGTGTATTCATAAATGTATAAACCAAATAAACTTAATTGTGGAAAAAGAATTATCAGAGAAGCTAATACAAGCGGATATACGTAGCTACTTTCACTGAACTTTTTTCATACTTTTTATTACTATAATAGTGTATATTTAATGTTTATACTTTAGCATTGAATAAATAGAAATCGCCTTAACTCGAACTAGTATCACATTTCTGTCAAAGTTCGACCAAACGGGAGTTCGCTTAAGTCGAACATTCGTTAAATCAAACCATTTTCCTTGGTCCCTTAAAGGTTTGACTTATCGGGAATTAACTGTATTTGCATAGATATACAAATGCGTTTTAAAATAACCTTTTAGACCACGGCATATATTTTTCTGCAAGGTTACAACTTCTACTGGTAATCGGAAAAAATAATAAGGTTGGAAAGGTGAACAAAATCCTGTTTTTTTATTTTTATTATTTTTTTTTTATTTTGCCGTATCATATTAGGCCCGTAGCAACCGGGTGGGCAGCAGGGGCATTTGCTCCCCCCCCCCCCCATAATTTTTCAAATAAATAATTTTAAAGAAATTGACTGAAAAAATGACTTAAAAAAAAAAAGGTCCTTAAAACTATTTTGGGGTAGTACTGCCTACGGCCCTGTCATATTTACATTTATTTTTATTTATTTTACATGCATTATTTTTGTAGAGTTAAAGACCAGAGAAAAATAGGTACATTGTCCTATATAAAAAAGCATGTACTTTGACCCATATTAAAATGTTTTAAAAAGGACTATAAATTATTTCTTTCAAATTAAAACTAAATCGAGTAAAAATTTTGAATTTTATTTGACACGTTGACACGCATTGTCTTTCAAATAATGTCCGCGTCTTGTAGCTAAATCTCTCCGATAACTTATTTTTATAGATTTCTTGTATAAAGAATTATTTAAATTTAATTATAATTTATATAAATTTGAATTAAACTAAGTTTTGAAATTTGTTTACAAAGGCTTAAATAATTTTAATATAATTTAATTTTATAATATAATTTGATATATCAGTACAATTACATTTTATACATCCTCTTTGGATTTTGACCAATCATAGCAATATAATTACAAGCTGAACTTTTAATAAAAACTAAAAAAAAATTTAACGAGAAGATAATGGGGCACACTCACCATTGGGAATTAAAGAAAGCCGTTGAGGCTTCGAAATGGAGAAAGTTTCTAGATGGAGCCCGTCAGATTATTGATACCGGTATTAATAAAGGAATTCCCATCAAAGACTATTCTGCTGGAGAGGTTATTTGTATCAACGGCGTCGATGAAGACGCCAACGAAGATTTTGAAATTACTTCCGAAAACGTCGAGTGGTCTTGTTGCAATACCGGCTCTAAGCCATACGACGTGGTAGTAACTGCAATACTTATTCTACTCAAAGAAATTATTGGGAATGATGTCAAAATTGATTCCGATGGCGATTGGGATAACGAAAGACGGGAGTGTGGCATAGAACTTTACAAAACTGTGTTTGATAACTAGCCTGATTCGATCTTAAGTTGACTAGTTGTCATCAAAAAAAGATGAACTATTCTCTTGAACTTAATTAGTATTTATGTAAAAAAATCAATAATAAGTACTTAATTTATATGTGTGTGTTTTTTGATAAAATAAAGCAATTCTAAGCGTATAGAATTTGTTAATTATGAGGATGCATACATACATACATACATACATACATACATACATACATACATACATACATACATACATACATACATACATACATACATACATACATACATACATACATACATACATACATACATATGTATATATGTACATACAGACATATGTATGTACATATGTACATGCGCACATACATACATATATACACACATACATAAATATGTACATACATACGTACATTCATAGATTATCTTTGTATGTATGTGCATACATGCTTATGTATGTATGTTTATGTATGTAGGTATGTATGTATGTATGTATGTATGTATGTATGTATCTAGTAGATACATACATACAATTAAAAGATAATTATCAAATACATATACAAAAGATAAATACCATTAACAATATAGTATAAATATTACAATAACATTTTGTGGGACAATGTAAATAGTGCAAGACTAATTCAAAGCAACGACCTTGTAAGAATGCAAACAAAATAATAATATAATGGTATAAATGTCAAAAAAGAAAATGCTACTAATAATATAACAGACAAATATAACACAGCGACTAAAGTAACAAAAATTAAAGTCATTTAAATATAATAATAACAACAATAATAGTAATGATAACTGAATAAAATATGGAAATGGTAAATAGTAATAATATTTAATAGTATAAATAGTAGAAGAAAAAAAAGTATTACCAAGTTAGATAAAAATATTGAATTGAGTATAATAATAGAAAAATACTAAATAGATATATAATATACATGTTAATAAAGATAATCATAAATGCTAAATATAGAAATAATAATTTAATGAAGAGTAGACAAAGTATGGTTGTGATAATATTTATTTTATGAGTAGCTGTCGAGATTTGCTTTAGTTTTACTTAAAAAGATTTTGAATTCAAGTTTTTAGTTTTTATGGAGTAGGGGAGATTGGTGCATTGATGTTTTATAGAGTTTTTACCATATCTTATTGTGCAGCTATGTTTAACAAATATACTTTTGGATGATGAGGATCTAAGGTGATAGGAGTGTTGGCTACTAGTTTTGGAGAAGGAAGTAAAAGTATTTGGGAGTCTACCATGCAAGCAATCCCATAGTAAGGTACAATTTATAAGTTTTATGTTACGTAGTTTTAAAAACTGTGATAATTTATATAACAAAGAAATATTGTCAAATGGTCATTATGAAAGTGGGCAATTTTAATTGTGTTATTTTCAAATGAAATTTTTTTAAGGATTGGTTTTAAGTTTGTTCCCAGATCTGGCAAGCATATCGTATGTGAGATCCAAAAATACCTTACTGATTATGAAGGAGTTAATATCTCTCCATTTAATATAAAAATTTAGTTGCTTATTAATTTTTTGTTTTAAAGACTATTATTTGAGCTTTTTTTAGCATTGAGTGAGATTTTATTAGCTCTCAGCCAGTTAAGAATTGATGTTATTGCCTTATTGGTTTGTCAACAGAGTCTTCAATTATAAGTAAATTAGTGTCATCAGCAAAATGGTTCGGCTATGATTTTATTGGTAGCTTTATTATTGAAGTAGGGGTACTATTTAGGTCTATACTTTTCTTTGTATTTATTGTAGAGGTATAAGTTTTAATCACCTTTGTTGTTACTGGTGAAAGAAAAAAAGAGTTTTAGTTTGGGTTCTCAAAAAAGTTATCAAATTTAATTTTAGAAGGTTTTATATTTTTAACAAGATTATTGGCTATGTTTAAAAAGTAGTTATTAAAAGAGTTAGGAACAAGTTTATCACTAACTAAATTTTTGTTTTGTAAATCACTTTTAGGCACTGAGTTGTTAATGTTTAATTAGTTCCTTAATTCCTTTTTATGTGTTTTTTTAATTGTACAAGTTTGATCTAAAAAAGTTTTATACAACTATTAAAATTAAAAAACTATTATAATAGTTTTTTTTACTGACTTTACATAAATTGCTAGATTTGTTTCTGTATATTTTAAATAAATGAAATGTTTTATCTCTTAATGGAGTTGACGGATGAGTTAAAAATTTTTTTATATAGTTTATCCTTTACTATCACTTCAGAATTCCTTGGGTTATTCAAGGCTTGGATAGGCAAGGCATTTTTGCACTTTAATTGTTTTTTAGTAAGAGGTTTAAGTGGGGCATGTTTATTTAGAATTTTCTGAACACATCTAAAAATATGGATAATCATTGGTTGGGTTTATCATTATCTTTGATTATGTGGGACCAGTTAATTATTTTAAGATCATTTTGAAAGTTTTTTCAAATTGAGGGGGGTTTAAACTTGATATGGTCATAATTTTTGAACACTAAAATATTTTACTATGAAATTTAAAATTTATCAATGAATATAAGTCAAATTGAAAATAGTACAAAAAATATTTCATCAACTTGTTGCTCTCACATTTGGGGCAGGGAGACTAAGATTTTAGGATTTCTTGTTCCCATTCTCCTATAACAGTAATTTTTTTTTTGTGAAGAATCTTTTCATCATACATATGAATGTAAAAAAGTTTGTAACATTCTTTTTGTTTAAAAGTTGGTTATTTCAAGCATTTAAAAACCTTCCTACACCACTGAATGTATGTATTAACTAAACCTCTAACTCACAAAATAAAACAGAAAAAATATATAGATGCTACAACAATTTTAACAGTAAAAACTTTTGAATCATACATACATACATACATGCATAAAAAAATACATAAATACATTGTATGTATATACATACATAATAATACATACATAATTTGTGTCTCATTTTTTGGTTTCAATGTTGTAAAATTCTCCTTATATATAGATTTATGACTACTAAATTTTTTTTGTTGAAAATTTAAATGTGGAAAAGTTCAATTGTTAACAATATGTATTATTAGCTTATAGTGAAAATTTCAGCTTTCCTAATCAACTCTGAGGTAAAGAAGTTGGTTTTTCTGTATAATCAAATATTATATTGAGGTAAAGAAGGCAATTTCTGTATAGTCAAATATTGTGTTGCAAATTTATTATTTTATAATAACATTTTTTTATTAGGAGAATTCAGCAAACACATTTTTTTATATATTTAAATGTTTTATTTAAATTATTTATATAATTATTTTTTAGTTATTTACATATTTTTATACATAACACATAACAAAAATCTTTAAAAAAAAATTATATGATAAATAAACTTAATAAGACGTTAGAAAAAAAATTATACATATATTATAAGTAAGTTTTCATTTCATTAAATTTTGGTTTTTAATTATTAAGAGACTTTTCAAATAATTTGTTAAGTGTAGATAATTGTAATAAAAAACGTGTATGATATGTATTTTTTTTTTTGCTTGGCAAAAAACACGTGTATGATATGTATTTTTTTTTTTTGCTTGGCAAAAAAGTATTTAAAAAAAAAAAAAAAAAATTGTTACAAAACAAACTACTATACTGTAAGCTATATTTTATACTATTTTTAAAAATTTTATTTTATAAATAGTATAAAATTTATAAATTTTTTGAATATATATAAATTTATAAACTGTACTGTTAGCTATATTTTCAGACAATGGCTTCAGGAAAAAAATACAATACTAGATACAATACTAGAGCCAGCTGAAGATTTGAGACAGGCTGCTAGAAAGTGTAGAGAGTTTTTATTTGTTAGGCTTTCCACTGCAAAGTTTTGCTCCAAATCAACTTCCAACGAATGGAGAAATGCTCACAATATTTTTTTGGCTCAACATTAGAAAAGAAACTAGGTAACATCTGAAAAATTTCTGAATTTCATCTGTTTGTTTGTACTTAACAATTTAACATTTTTTTAGCACTACCAAAATGAACTGTAAAGTTGGATGTGCCCTTGCTTCCGGAATAAGTTATCTGAAATGCAGCAAGTTACCAAAAGGAAAGTGTGAAGAGAATTTGCGACAAACAATCAGAGGTGTTTGCATTTTGAGAGAACTAGTAAACTTGTGGGGCAAAGCTGGATTCAACAATAATTTCATACTCATAGAGCAGCAAATCTGAAACAAAATTACCAACAAGATTGATGAGTACTAATCCCTAAAAAGACTCAAGACTCTAAGAGGAAAAAATGTGCTCCCAAAATAAAAAGCTCAGAAAATAAGAGGAAAAGAATAAAAGGAAGGTAGAAAAACTAGAACAAAGAGAGTTTAAAGTTTCCTGGTACACAGACAGTGATAACTTTTCAGACTCTGATGAAGTTTTTATGCCTCCTACAAAGACACAAAAGATTTCAGGGGAAGTAAAAGTTAGTCTTCAGCTAAGTATGGATAAACTCCTAAACAATTGGGTCCCAATCATGATGAGATATAATATTGGTGTTTAATCAGGAACCTGTTTGTTGACATCTCTTTATAAAGCTGGTCGTATTAACATTAAAGAGTTCAAGATCTTAAGAACAACTCCGACCAGGAAAGCACACACTGTAGTAGAGTCAGTCTAGATCATTTGAAAGCAGAAAATGGACAAAGTAAAAGGTTTAAAGCTATTGATTAGCTTTGACACTAAAATTGTAAGGCAATACACCAGTGAAGAAGCAATTTCCACAAGTCATGAAAAAATATCTATAAGCATTTCTTCTTCTGAAGCTGACCCTTAGGGTGTGCTGACACACAGCTAGCAACAGAGGAAAGAACAAAAGTGCTATAACGAATGATATTCTTCATGCTTTAGGGAGGCCTGTTCTCTGGCTAATGTGCAGACACCACATATACGAGAGACATGTGTCTCATGTCATGGAACTTGTTTTTGGTATGACAAAAAGTCTAAGCAAACACCTCTATGTTTTACTTCAGAAGCTATGGCCGCAAATACACAGAGAAGTTAGTTACTTGAAAGAATTTTTAAAGTTACTTGTCAAACTTGATTGGTTTCCGGATGCATTTAAACTAAAGAATTTTGAGCCACAGCACTTCAGGGAACACTTTTCAGAGAGGAGAAATAAGCCTGTAACTGGCAAAGATACAAGTATCTTTGCCAGTTACCGGCTTACTTCCTGGGTGCAGATATACTTAATTTATTCTTCAAGCAGCTGGGAGGTCACCATGAGGCCAGGTTTATAAGTGACTGTCTTTACCCTTGTCCTGCAGATGACACAGAACTATCATCCAAATGATTCAAAAACGGTAGTGCCTGCTACTCTCAAGAACATGAACACTGCTACAAGTTACATTGTGTTTTTCCATGGTCTTTCTGAAGAGTCCTATGGCAACTCAAGCTCCTTCAAACGACCTAAGAGCTTTTAAAATAGCTTACCAGCTCCAAATATCAGATGATTACAAAGCCTATGCAGAGATTAGAAAGTTTCTCAACAAAAGCCTTCAACAGCATACTTGGTATCTAGCTCCCCAGCTTGTGGTTTTGTGTCTTGCTGGTTTAGATGCCGACGTCAAAAATAACATCATTAACAAATTGCTGTATTTTGCCATTCCAGAAAAAGAATACATGGTGCTTGAGAAACCTGGAAGCAAGTCATTGTTCTAATGTCATCTCTTGATGATTTTGTCACCGAGCAAAGTTATCTTCTTTTTTTTCCTCCTAGAAATCACTAAGGATAAACTGTTGCTGTGGAAGGAGAAAAGTATAGCTGCTTGCAAAAGTAAGAGTAATCCTCTAAGTCATTTGTCAAGTTCTCTGCTTGTGCAAATCAGCTTGTAGTAGCATAAAGCTGATCCAAGACTTTATTGAAAGATCACATAACACATTGTTAGGGGAATGGGGTTGTTTTTGAAAAATTAGGCAATTTAGAATAGCAAACACATATCATGCTCATTTTTAATAACAAAAAAAGTCAATTGCACCTAACATTTTACACCTAACAACACCTTCCCCTACCCAGTATATGTGCATGTTATACAATAATGTCCGTAAAACTGTTTAAAGAATTTCCATATCATTTTATTTAATTAACCAAACTATTAATTTTAAATACTTGTAATTTTAGAGCTTAGATTATTTAATTATTTTACAAAAAATTTTAATTTTATTATTTTCTAGGTTGTCCATAAAAACAGACAGCAAATATCTATGAAAGTTACAAAGAAGTACTTGCAGAATATCTAATAAGTATCACAACTCATCATGTTTTTATTGCTTTTTCAACTCAATTTAGAACTGTTATCTGAAATAAAGTTGTCACACAAAATCTGTATCTTTTTTATTCTATTAGATATATTGTAAATCAAAACCAGTGTTCTATAAGTGTTATAAATTTAGAACTATATTCGGAATTTAAAATGTAATATTCAGCAAAAATTCAATTATATAGAAACCGCATTCTTTACCTTAGAGTTGATTTTGAAGTCTGAAATTTTCACTATAAGCTACTAATACATAATGGTAACAATTGAACTTTTCCACATTTTGATTTTCAAAAAAAAAAATTTTTTTGAGATACCCTAATACAGAGGTAAGTTTTTTTCAAGTTTTATTGTTTAAAATTTTCTTTTTGTGTTTTATATATTGACTAATTTTTAATATACAAAATTATATAATGTTAAATACTTTTTTGATATTATATGATGTTTCAATTTTTTTGATGACGTAATGTTATAATCTTTTTTAAAGGTTGAAAATGGTATAAATTCAAACTTTGTCCACATTCTTCAAAAACATTGATAAAGAAAATTTTATTGAATATCTGTAAGTCAATAGATTGATGATAAAGAAGGAAAGACATGTTTGTGGACATGCTACGAATGCTTAAAAATTCAAGCAATTCAATGTATGTCTACTCATTTACTTTGTTAACATTTACTTTGTTATACTACAGTAATTAAATCATAAAATTAATGTATCGAGACTTGAGAATAGCGTTTCCATAAACCTGCAAATGTTTTTTCATGTTAAATATTGATCTAGTTTTATTTTTACGAAGCCATATGTCCTGAGAACTTCAGTACTTAAAAGCCATATATCCTGAGAACTTCAGTACTCAAACTAGGTAAAACTATCTTTGATTTAGCTTTGAATATTTATAAAGTGACGCACAGCCTTGTTATTCTCATGTTTTCATATGTTGTACTAATTTTGTCTAGCTGTCTAATTATTTATCTTTAATTGATATTATTTGAAAAAAAGATAGTTTTGCATGGAGATGTTTTGGATGAATGATTGTTTAGTGTGAATTAGGTGTAATGCCACATAACATTTTTTAGTTAATGCTTTTGTAGTGTGCAAGTTCAAAAACAAATCTTTTGTAGTGTGCAAGTTCAAGAAGTTCCTGTGAGCAGCGCTGCTTTATAAAAGTTTGCAAAAAATTTTAAATTTAATGCAGATGTCTAAAAATGACAGGGCGGCTTTATAGGTTATTTATAGGAATTATAAGTATTTTGTATGATAAACTGTGGTAATTACTTGACTTTTTTTTTTTTTTTTTTTGTGTGCATGTTAATGAAAATTATTCTTTGTAGTTATATATATAAATATTTCGTTTTGTTTTTATGTAATTTCTGACGAAAATCATCAAGCAAGATAATAAAAATTGAAAGAAAAGATATGAAATTTTTTATTGTAAATGTGATTGTGTATTAATGATTGGCTTTTTTGGTATACGATGTAATGATGTCTGATGATTTTGTTATATCATCTTAAATTATTTTATTGCATAATATATTTTGGTTTTGTTTCCTGGAGTTTACCATAATTTCTAATTTTGACAAAATCCTTATATTAGGATGTTCCAAAACACAACAATTTAAAGAATAACTTTTCTTACCACATACATGTTTTTTATATAAAATCAGTAGATTCTAAGAAATTTGTTGAAAAAATGTTTTTAGGACTCCTTTTTGACCGCTTGAACATTTGACGGGTCCCTAATATTATCAAAAAAATATTTTTCGTAAATCTCAAATTTTTTTTTTTTTTTTACTTTTTTTCCAGAATAATATGTACAAGGTAAATTTACATTGAATATATTACTGGTAGGACTTCCAGAAGATCACACGATCTTATCATGAAGCCCTTTAAAATCTATATTAAGAGTCGAAATACATAAATAAATTTACAAATATTTAAAACAATTTTTAAATGCGTTTATATATTATAATACTCTTTAGATGTTAAGCAAATTTAACAATATTTTATAATATATGTGAATATATATATAATATTTCTCAATATTTAATATTATGCAAAAACAAACAAACAAACAAACAAAAAGCAAACAAAAGCTCGAAAAATTACATCAGTTTTCATCAGTATATATGTAGTGTATATAATAATATATAATAATATATGTAATGTAATAATAAATGAAGCAAATCAGTATAATAATCATTTTATAAACATATTAAAAATAATAATCATTTTATAAAAATATTTTTTTAGATATTCCTGCATAAAAAATGACACTTTTTTTGACTTGCATCTATGTAGTACATGCGCAGTAAAATTCGCTGATTTAGAAACTTAAGAAAAATTTAGAAAATTTAGAAAAATTTTTATATTAGTACTTGTACTATTGTAAATTTCCTTGAAATGTTATAACTTATTTCGAAATATATTTGATTTGATTTGAGAAACCTCTTCCCCCATTGCACATACCTGTATAGCTTTAAAGACCTACCCCCTTTGCAGATGGAAATGCATCATCTATAACAATTAACCTTTACCTTTTTTTTTTCCCGAATCCTAGATATTTCCGAATATTCACAACAAAAAAACTTTTAGTTCTCTCTTGGTTATAAGCGAACTTATTCGCTAACAAATTTGTCTTTAAAGGCCCTTACACTTTTTACGCATGCATAAGTTTTTGGTTACTCGTTCCCCTATACCTGCGTACGTACTTTATGAAAAAATCTTTTAAAATAAGATAAAAAAAAAATCTTGCAAGATTTTGTAAAATAATATTATTTTTACTATATCTAGTTAAATAATATTATTTTTACTTTATTTCGCTTTATTAAAGACCCTACAAGGCATACTTTAAAAAACTTTTTCTGTCATTAGCTCTTTAGAACACCTTTAAATTTCGAAAAGTTATTCATTTTATAAAACATCGAAAAATAGGCGGACAGCTTGAAATTTCTAATTATGAGTGGTGCCTAAATATTGTTATTCAATGTAACAATTAAATTTCTTCTCCTTTATTTAGCAGAAATTGTTTTGTTTCCCTGCGTGCGCTAGAAGCCCTAATTTTGAAATGTACCTTAAAAAAGTTGTTTACATTAAGGTGATTTGCCGTTTCCATTTTAATATTTTGGTTGGTGAAAACTCTTGAACATTTTTATGTCGATTAGGTGATTTTGTGATTTTATTAGTTTCTATTTAATAATTTGTGTTAAAATGTTGTTTTAAATTTACTTGTCTCACTTCTACTCACACTTGTCCCACTTTACACCAATGGCACGGTTTCTCTAAAAAAAGAAGATTTATACATTTAGTTATAATTGGCTAAGAACCTAATCGGTGCCTAAAAAGAGGGTTTTTTCTTAAAAACTTGTTTGATTCAGATAAAAAGGATATTATACTAAAAAAAATTTACGTGTCCCACTTCTCCCCACTCTCCCCTAATAATATAATAGGTCAAAAAAATAAGGTAGATCATATAAGCTCTAAGCCGTAATCATAATTGTTGTTAGCGTATTTTTCTTTTTAAATTTGCTTCAGATTAGATTTAAATTATAATAATGAGCTAAGCTTAAAAAGTTTTTAAAAACATTTCAATAGTAAAAGTGACCTTGCATACTAAAGTGTAAATATTTGAAAATATCTGATTTTTATTTCCTTTTAGGAATATAAAATTCTAAAAGCAAAAGAGGAAAAAAGTGCGATTTTTACTTATGCCAATGTCCGACACAAGCACAGCAGAAACTTTAGTGCAAACTGTTACCGTAAAACAGGGTGACTTTGATAGGTTTTGGCGCATTTTTACTAAATTACTCTTAGGTATTAAATTTAAATTTTTTTTTCCTGATATAACATTGTCCCTCTCCCTTAAAGGATTCCATAAAAAAAATATTTTTTTATTGACATACAATATTTTTTTTTATCTCCAAAATGTTATCAATCTCATATCTTCGTTGAGGGTGAAATTGATAAAATTTTGATTACTTTGATAACCTAATAGTTTTATAATAGCTTAGTAATTTAACCTTCCTCACAAGTCATTGATAGTTTGTTTGGAGTTTTATTAAATTAGAATACAATATACAAACAAAATTATAACATTTCACTGATTTTGATTTTTTTCCTTCAATTTGTTGATTCTTGGCTTTTTCTATTTTGATGTTTGTCCATCTTCAATATCATTTACTGTGATTATTTTATCCCCTTTTTTTTCTCTTAGTTTTTCCTGTTGCCTGAGTGCTTCTTAGCTTTTCTTTAAATATTTAAAAAGACATTTTACATGGCTTTTGTTGGATATGATGCGTATGATCGACTACCTAGTTCCTACCGTTAATAAATTCTCATATTTCTTGAAATTGTTCTTGTATTCTTTCTAATATTTTATGCTTTTATCTCTTATTTTAACTAGAAATAATCATCTGAAACATTAAAAGAATACAATAGGATTGAAATGTCAATTTTATGGGATAATTTTTATGAAAAGAAAAGTGCGTAGAACAACTGATAGTTAAGAACACTCGCAACAAATGTTTACACTGGCAACAAATGTTTATTGAAATTTTGCTAGAAAGATTAGTTTTTGTTTTTAATATTCAACTATTTTAGAAACTTGAAACCGTTTGTCGCTCGTAAAACAGTTTTTACTTATGCAGTTTCGCACATATCCTAAATTAATGCAAGTTTGCACTTACAAGATTTAGCACACTTATACAAATTTGCCAGGCGCAACCGGGCGTATGAAGCAAAGGAACATTTTATCTGGAGCAAGGTAAAAAGCCGGAGCTAGACTAATCATAACCAGAGGAGCTAGAGTCATAATTTTTTTTAGCTTTAGCTCTATTCTAATACTCTAATTTGGAAGTTAACCATCCTTTGACAGTAGTTTAGCACTTTTTGTCGGTGGAAGCGTAAACGTAAACACACCAACATTTGATAATTTTGGCTTCACACACAGAGACACCATCATTTGGCTTTCTAAATTCTTCTACACAATCTTTTGGACAATCTGGAAGTGCATTTGGATGTACCTAGTGCAGTCATATTCTTATTATTTTCGCTTATTTATTAATTAATTAAAAATCAAAATTAGTGTAATTGTAAGATACATTTGAGTAACAAGTTTCAGTGATCGTATAGATGCAAGTAAGATGCGAGACGTATTCGTTTATCAAGAATATTATGATATTATTGTTTTCACTTGGGTCATACGATTCAGAAGAATTAGTATTTTAATTCAAGCCATAAAGACCATAAGTAAAGAAAAGTTTAAAATTTGCATTTATTTATTTTTGATTTTTCTAAAATCTAAATTAAGTTCAAAGTTCTTCAACAGCGGTTCTTGGTGACAAGACCTGTATGGTCTTCTTTGAGTATCCGCGTTCTATATCTTTATTATTTATTTTCTAACGGTTTCTTTGCATGTAATTTTTCTTATTGATATATTTGTAAATATTGTATTAAATATTGTAATAAAGAACAAGAAAAAAAAAAAAAAAAAAATTCGTATTAGCTATGGAGAGTAATAAATAATTTGAATACTTTGTCAACCAATAACTAAATTTTAAAGCAGTATGATTAAAATATAGCTCAATTTTTAATGAATGGAAGAAGTCCTATTTTGAAACTCTTTTAAGCTGCTGGCATCATTACAGATTAAATAAAGGCTAATGGAGAAGTAGGGAAAAACTAGGGATGTACCGAAGCCAAGAATTTGCCGAAGCTGAAGCTTCTGACGAAGTCACTTTGCCAGTTTTATAAAGCTAAAGTTTGCTTTCTTGCATATCATTTTAACTATCCCAATTATCTAACTATATTACTAACAAATAATTAAAAAATTAATAATATTCCTACTCAGCCCGCATTCGGTTCTGAAAAGACGTACATTAAAGGTTTTTTGAACGTTCTAAACGCCTTATGAAAATTCAAAAGACGTCCCGGTGGGAAATCGGCTTGCGAATAGCTAGCTATAGGCATTACGATAAAGACAGCAATTTGGCCACGAGTATCGCTAGCTTTTTTAAGTTAGCGAAAAGCTATTAATATTTGTAAAGATAAAGATTAATTTTTAAAAGATTCTACAATCTTTTAAAAACGTAGTTAAAATTTGCTCGACTTAACAGATACAAACATACTTTTGTATTTTTAGTTTTAAAATTTAATTTTTTTTTACGTTACTTATTTGTTTTTCTTGCTGTTTAAATTTAATTTTTCATGTTAGAAGTTAGAAGTTACGAGTAACTAATTAACTACTTAAATTATCTACTAATTAGTAACTCATTATTTATTAGGTAAATAATACAAGTCATAAAGTAAAGTCTACACTTTGACTCAGCAGTTCTTATAACTTATATTTATATATTGAATATTCTAATTTGAACATTAAATTCTTTGAACTTAACATTTGGGCGCTGGCCTTTAATGTTTGAAATTAGATTTTGAATTTTTAATTGTACACAAAACTTTTAGCTAATTGACAATAGTGTTTAGTAATTACTACATAGTGAATGAATAAATGCATGGATTATGGAATTTGATTCTCTTTATCGCATTAATTTAATTTTAA